GCGGGTCCGGTCGGTGCGCTTCGCGGCGGTACTGTAATCGCGTTTTTGTCTTTTCCTTTTGCTGTTCTGTTAAATTGCACTCTTTTAACCCACGAGTTTGGCCCTGTCATTTTCTTTTTCCACGACTGTGGGAATTGTGCGAGCGGCTGCGTGGTTCTTTGTTGCTGGCTGAGGCCAAACCACGACACAAGGCCTTTTGCACAGTCTCCCATAGCATACTTATAACTAAATTGGTGAGATATGAGATATACTGCAGCTAGTACTGTTTAACATCTTCATTAATGACCTGAATGATGGGACAGAGTGCACTCTCAGCAAGTCTGCAGATTAATAAAGGATTGGAAAGGAGTGGCTGATACACCAGATGTTTGTGCTGCCATTCAGAGGGACCTCAACAGGCTGGAGAAATGGGCAGACAGGAGCCTCATGAAATTCAACTAAGGGAAATGCCCAGTCCTGCCCCTGAGGAGGAATAACCCCATCATAAATACAGACTGGAGGCCGAACAGCTTGAAAACAGCTTTGTAGAAAAGGACCTGAGAGTCCTTGTTGACACCAAGAGTAACATGAGCCAGCAATGTGCCCTTGCAGCAAAGGCAGCCAAAAGCATCTTGGGCTGCTTTAGGAAGAGTGTTGCCAGTGGATAAAGGGAGGCAATTCTTCCCCTCTACTCAGCATTGGTGAGACCACACCTGGAGTATTGTGTCCAGTTCTGGGCTTCCCAGTACAAGAGAGACATGAACATACTGGAGCAAGACCAGCAAAGGGCCACAAATATCATGAATTATGATGAGAGTGTTTGACATATGAGGAGAGATTGAATGAGGTGGGATGGGAAGACGGAGCCAGACTCTTCTCAGTGGTGTCCACTCAAAGGACAAAAGGCAATGGGCAAAAACGGAAAACCAAAAAATTCCCCTTAAATTTAAAAAAAAACTTTTTTTTTTTTTTTTTAAAACTGTGAGGGTGGTCAAACACTGAACCAGGTTGCCCAGAGGGATTCTGGAGTCTCTATCCTTGGAGATATGCAAAACCCAACTGGTCAAGATGATGAGCAACCTGCTCTAGTTGACCCATTTTTGAGCAGAGGGGTTGAACTAGATGATCTCCAGAGTTCCTTCTGACCTCAACTATTCTGTGATTCAGTGGTTTACCAGTGACAGTACTTGCAAGCTTGTACTTGTAAAGCCTGTATACCACTTGATTTTTCCTATCTACACATGCATCTACTACAGATGAGCATGCACGTGAGTGCTGAATAAGGTAGAAACTTATGATGGAAACTGATGAAGGTAAAGGTTATCTGGTATATATCAAAAAAGAAAAGTTAAAGATATAGGGCTAAAGAATATTAAAGATACAGATAAGAAGAGGCTTCTTTTCAGAGTTTGCAAACAAGTTTTCCTCAATTAGTAGGCATTTCAAATGCATTTTTGCAGTACACATAAATTTCTACCATAAGTATGCATCGATTTCTCAAAACCCAGCTCATTAATTGCGCAGAAGAATGCTGCCTACTGAATTGCCAATGCTACCACTTCTAGATTTTCCTCAGATGTATTTGATTTTAGTCCTGACATAAACCCATCTTGTTTAGTTTAATCTGGGAAAGGTAAGATGATCCTGGAACAGAGTGATTGTAACAAGAGAGTTCTGTGTGCTGACAGAGGACAATCAGATAGCCACTAATTCCAGAAAATATACAGGGCAGAAGACACCAAATATGAGGGAAAAAAATAGCCTTGACATTGCAAGTAAATTCGCCAGATTTCATGTGAATTTTCTGCCACTTGCATCTGGGCCTAATGTAAACCATATATCTGTGCAATGCTCTGCATTACAAAATTATTAATTCATTGCTATTTAAAATGCAGAGCTACAAAGACAACTTAAGAGATGCATATAGTACCCTAATAACAAAGACTTTAATGCTATAATTCTAACGGTTGTCAATATTCTGAATGCAAAAAATCGGCTTTTTTTTCTTATATGAATATACTTTCTTTTAACAAATTATTTAAAATTAAACAACATTAATATCTTGTTAAAAATAAAAAATATAATCATAGAATCATCTGGGTTGTACCTCTGGAGGTCATGTAGTCTAACCTTCTGCTCAAAACAGAGCTTACTTCAAAGGTTAGATCATGCTGCTCAGAGTCTTATCCAGGCAAATTTTGAAAGTCTCCAAGGCCTCTCTGGGCCTTTGTTCCAGTGCTGCACAACTCTCACTGTGATTTTTTTTCCTTATGCACAATTAGAATATCTCTTGTTAGGCAGCAGGCACCTCTGAATAGTCTGGCTCCATCTTCTCTATGACCCCTAGTAGAAGAAGCTGCAAATCCTTCTCAAATTTTAGAAAGTTAAAAGGCTTTCTTAACTATATATATAATTAGCAACTATTTTTTTTAAAAACTTTGATACAACTTGATCTACACAAGTATGTCATAGCATCATGTGTTTATATAAAGTAAGCATACTATCTTCAGTCTTCACAGTGGATCAAATCCTAGTTCTAACACTTCTCCAGAAGCAAGTGGGGGGAGGGGGGGGGCGAGGAGTATGTATAATTTTTTTGCCTTAATTGATTCTGCTTTCATTTTATTTAGCAGATGCAAATAGAACTTTTTCTTCATTTGGACTAATTATTACAAAGTTGAGAAAATGGGAGCTGAAAGCTGAGGAAAACTTGTACTCCTTTTCCACTCTATGAATAAACAGTGGATGACATTATTCATTCTAAACCACAATACCATAAAAGATAGCACTAGATGCACAGTCAAGATTCCACCATTCCAAGCAGTGGAATATTCAACAGTGCTTAAGTCAACTAAGCTCTTAATTGCCACTAAATATTAAGATGACTTAAATGATGAAAATGTATGCGGACCATATACATTAAAATTTCAATTGCTGTCAGCTCTGATACAACTGATTGCAGGGGTGTGGGGATAAGATTTTTATTGAACTGATGAATGCAAACAAGTTTTGGGAGGAAGAGATATAGACTGGAAATGAAGAAATTTAGTTCAATGGCTCATTTGGGTTGACTATCCCTTTTTTCATTAATTAAATGTAGTCTCAGAAGGAGGAACAGAAAAGGTATTCACAATATACAGTGAGAGCACATAACATCTTAGAAGAAATATACAGTGAGAAATATATTCTGACAGGACTGAAGCTGCAAGAAGATTTATTCAAGGTAAGCATAATATAAAATTTTCCTCAATATGGCCAGTGCTAATATCATCGCTTGTGAAACTGTCAACTAAGAGAAACATATGAAGGCCCCAAACATGCAATTCATTCAAAATTAGGAATGGAGAAATATACTGTTGAGAGGTAGTCTTCCACTGGCAGACAGTGGTATCTTTCTATGATCTCGATCAGCATATGTAATCAGCTTGTTCCTTTTGTTATTTACTGCTACACCACTGTTATCTTCAAATTCTACCAGCAATGAGTTTATGACATATATTTGTGACAAATATATTCAGATTCCCACAAGAATATCCCACTAGAAATATCCCCAACTGGTTGATGATTTGCTATTTAGTTATTTTTATAAGCTATCACTTAACAAGTTTTAGTCTATTTAATATGGGTTATATTCATTTTGTTTTGTGCTACTTTTCTTTTAAATTAGAATGCTACACAGAAGCAAGCCAAGAACTATACATGTTTATTATATAGACAGTTGTACCTTTTATTACTGTTTATTAGTTTTATTGTAGCACAGAGAAGTCCCATACATGAGCCATGACCCACAGTGCTAAGTATTGTACTGTATTATTAGCACATTATGTTTAAATTGAACCAGTTTTCATTTTCAGAGTAAACATTCTGTTCATTTTAGGAAACACATTTGTTACAAGCAAAACTCTCTCTGAATGCATACTCAGGTAAAATTTTGCTCTCAGATGAGCATGCTTGAATTCCACTGAAATCAGAAGAAAAAAACCCTGATGGAGAATTTGTACCTTCAGAAGTCAGTTCTATTGGTAGCGAAAGGTGTAACTGAAAATCAGTACTTTCCAATGTTCAAGGTACAGGAACAAGTATTGACCATGATCCCAGTCACAGCCCACTTCATCAGAGTCACACAGCAGTTCAAGCAAAGACATTCTGCTAATCTATACCCGTTTTCTCTTCCCACCATTTGTCTTATTCAATCTAACAAACAGAAAAAACACATCAAAAAAAGAGACCATCTCTTAATAAGAGGGGACTGGTAAAACAGGGCTCCTAATTCTAGTCAGAGTCTTTAGGCATTGCTGTTATACAACTAGTTATGCAATATATAGAACCTTATCTGCTAAACTTATTAATGAAAGTAGGTGGTGTCAGTTAAATCTTCAACATACCGAGAATACGTTTACTTTTACCTTGTGAACTAAAGGACAGGAAGAAGACATGATGAAATTAGCTTCTATTTTGTTTCTGTTGTTGGGTACATTTTTTTGGCAAAACCTACAAACAGTACTTGACCAAACACGGCAGATATTAAATAAGGCTATTCCAGGCTGGTTTGACTTCTCTCTTGCAATTCCTTCATCATAGGATTCAAACCAATCAAACTCTTTAATGCACTTATGTTTACAATGCTGACATAAAAAAGAACACTTTTTAAAACGGGAACTGAAATCTACAATGGACTTCAGTGATTTGGTGAAGATTGTAGAAAGTTACCCAGGTCGCAGATTATAACCTTACCCAAGCCCTTACATTACTCCTTTTTTCAGTACATGGTTGATGAACACTCCAAAAAGCAAGGTAATTAAGTTATTTCTCTATTCCTATCAATATCACAATTTATCTTTTCCAAACAGAGCACAGAGGAAATATAAGAAACTTATTCCAAGGAACTTGTGACTTCCTGTAGCACAAAAGGGCCCCAAAAATCATATTGCATGCATAATATGTATAAACCTTGATTATGTTGGTCCATTGGACTCTGAGGTGGGCCCATTCCAGGGTGAGGAGGTCGCATACTCTTCATGGAGCCACAATGAACATCTTCAACCATTCCTTTTTCATGCAAGCCATCAGTTGGCTGAAAAAAAAAAATATATCTACTAAAAAAAAATCAAAGGGACATAAAATAAAAATTTACACAGGTATATAAAGAAGCATATAAACTTCTCATGCTACCTATTATAAGTAAATATAACGTGATTCTCTATCCCTGGAATCAGATTTTTAGAAAGCAGAGCACAACATGAGAATGTTTATCCCTCTTCCTGCTGCTTCCTTTTCTTTTTTTGATTCCTTATGAGCTGTTTGGACAATGTCAAATACTACAAACTGGAGGAAAATTGTCCAAACAGAAACAAATGAACTGTATTGACTTCATATAATAAAGCAGTGTAATGCAGACCAACTTAGAGCAGTACAGCCTGTGACTTAGGCCAAATTATTAACCCAACCTTTTGCCTTTCAGTTGCCGCTATACTGGAATGTCCCAAATGCTGTTTCCCTTCAAACACAAAGATTCCATTAAAGGAATCGATTTCTTATTGGTATATTTTTACTTTAAGTAAAAATCCCGCTTGTGACATAGTGCTAATTTTTGTACAGCCAGCAATCATTTTATGGTATACATGGTGTTTAAGTGGCAAGGCTTTGGTAGCAGGAGGGGGCAGGACTGCAGGGGTGACCTCTGTGAGAAGATGTGGAAATGACCCATGCCGGATCATTTAGTGAAGGACTGTACCCCTCGTTGGAGCAGGGGAAGAGCATGAAGAGAAAGGAGTGGCAGAGATGAAGTGTTATAGACTGACCACAGACCCCAGTCCCCATCCCCCTGCACTGCTCTGGGGAAAGAGGTCGAAGAGTTTGGTTAGGAGTGAAGTTAAGCCTGGCAAGAAGGGAGGGGTGGAGGGAACGTGTTTTAAGTTGTGTTTTTATTTCTCATTATTCTATTGTGTTATTAATTGGCAATAAATTAAATTAATTTTCCCCAAGTCTATTCTGTTTTGTCCTTGATGGTAATTGGTAAGCTATCTCCCTGTCTTTATATCACCTCACGAGCTTTTTCATTCTATTTTCTCCTCCTGTCCTGTTGAGGAGGGGGAGTGAGTGAGCAGCTGGGTGGGCATTTGGCTGCTGGCAAAGGCTAGCCCACCACACATGGTTATAAATTAAAAACAAAACATGGGATTATGCTTCTGGTTATAAGCAAATAGGAAGAGAGATCATAGAGTGCACAGTTCTCTTTCTGTCCTTCAAGAAAGATCCATGGGAAATACTATTGTTCTGGTTAATAAATATATATATAGCTAAAAAATACATGTCCCAGTTGGTGCATAAGAACAGCTATACCACTTCAGACGAAGACCATCTTTCCCTTTCTCCTGTCTCCAGAAGGGACCAGAGGTGAATACCCAGGAAGAATAAGATCAGGGAAAACATATAGCAATGCTTCCTTCTTTTGTTCTCCCAGATTCCCAATATTTTGAGTTCTGGAGATTTTCTGATGCTGTTGATGTCTTGATGCTGCTGACAGTGTGATTGATGGACTCAAGTTTACTCCAAAAATTAGTGAGAAAAAGTTAGTTTATTCTTTCTGGGCTAACTATATTCTATAAATCAACAGTAAATTTTCCTGTGTACAGATTTTCTGGTTATTTGAATATATAGTATTTCATTTTCACATAATTGTTGTTACATATGGGAACTATATGATTTATTAATGCCAACTTAATGTTAGATTATGATATTAAAAGCAAATCTCTGTAAACACAAAGGAGTACAGGCACAATGGCAGGTGGAGGAACCCTAATAACCTAAGCAGAGACAGAGCCCCTGCTCCAGCTCCTCCCAGGGCTGTCCCAAGGAGACCATCAGATCCAGTGTGAAACCCACCCGATGAGTCAAAAGGAGCAGCTCTCCCAAGCACCTACAGACTGAGGGGATTACTGCCTACTAGGATACGGGACTCATTAGGGAATGCCAGCAAGAACATTTTGGAATCATGCAAGTCTTATTATGGGATGTTTAGGGGAGGAACCAAAGGCAGGGAAATAGAGAGATCTAGGCGATTTTGGGAGGAACAAGTGTGGGAAGATAGAGGTAAAAGTGGATAAAAGGGGCTGGTCGCATGTAAGCAGGTCTGGTGAGTGCATTTGTCTGACCATGCCCTGCACTTGATCAGCATAGTCTGTCCTGTCTTGACATTTGTCCTGGTTTGAGGTATGTATGATGCTGATCACTACATAATACTAACAGTGTTCAATAAGTGTTTTTCAGAATAACGCAGTGGTGATGAAACCTGAGCTAGCTTCATCAAGTGGCATCCAGCAAGCCCTTCAAGATAGACATGCTACCCATGGGCACAAACCAGAATGAATTTTGTACCATCTTTCCTGCCCTGAGATGAGATCCTGCAATCATGAACTAAATGGAATTAAACTTTTGTATATAGATATAAATCGTAGATGAGGGACCTGCATGTATCCATATATATATCTCTCTCTATGTGTGTGTAGATTTGATAAATAAAAGTAATAGTGATCTGAACAAGACGCAAATGGTATGGAATAAGGGGTGGAATGTC